TCTAATGTCCTGGCCCCACTGGTGGACCTCCTGATGGCACCTGGTATTTCTGGCCACTGTGTGATACAGAGTATTGGACTGGATGGGCCTTTGGCCTGATCCAACATTGGCATCTCTTATGTTCTTACGTTCTTATGATATGTATACAATGTTATAAATAATCAACAGAATTTGTTTTTAAAAAAGAAAAAGAAAAGAAATGTTATACAGTTCATGATAAGAAATTCTACCAGGTTCAAATTCAAGTTAGCCTTTATTGGCCTAAATTGTCAATACAGATTATACTAATTCAAAAACGGATTGAAAACACACCTATTAAAAATACCATGTCTCTAGATTGTACAATTTAAGAGCGGGTTAAAACACACCTATGAGAATACTATGTCTCTGGGTAAGAAATGTTACCATTTAAAACCAGGCTAGGAATTTAGATTTTAAAAGCCTTCCAAAAAATGATGTTGGGACGCCAGTAAAGAAGGGACCAGATGTAGCTCATGGAGGAGGGAGTTCCAAAGGCTTGGCATGGCTAGTGGCTCCCCATCAAACATAGTTCTCTCACCAAGGGGTTCTTGCAATATAGGGCTTCCTCAGACCATCTCAGAATGTGGACAGATACATATGGGTGGAAGCAGTCCTTCGGGTACTTTGGACCCAAAATGTTTGTAATGTATTCAATAGCTGCCATTGAATGCATAACTGTATGTGAACAACATGATTGAAATGCCATGTAAAGCTTCGCCCTGGGCTAGGATCCTAATCCATCCAATCGTATTGGTAGCCCAGGAAGCACCAACCAATCAGGTACCAGCAAGCTCCCTGAGCAGGAACATCTATAATTGGTCGTTATGTGAACAATCTTATTGGTTGGTAATTGTATAGTAAGGCGTGGCTACATTAGCCGGGAGAGTTTAAAAGCAGGACAACTGCAATGTAAAAGCTGAACTGTTCTGTTCTGGCTATCAGATGTTGATCCGTGTTGGAGTTGTGTTCGAGTTGATGAATAAAGCTGAATCTTTGCTGAATCACTCTCCGACTACTTTGTTATGCGAGCGACTTAACGTTTAGGACTTGAGTTCAGAAACAGGGTTAGGAGCTAATGCAATGGATAAAAAAATGGGTGCTATGTGCCCACTGCTCTTATAAAGTTTCCAGACTGTCTTCAAAGGCAGGCCTACTTACAGCATAGAATTTAATGTAAAGTTTAGCTGTGTGTAGTAATCACTGTGGGATTATCTCTTTTTTTGTGTGGCTATATTCTGGAGTATTTCTGGAAGACTGCAAAGGTGCTTCTTAATGAAACAGAGGAGAAGGCTCAGCACTGTAAACAGCAGATACTTGTATCTTGTACTGTACTCTGAAACAGAGGATTGTGGCTTCCCTGTGTTATTCATAAACATAAACACAATTTCAACAGGAAAGAAGAGAGTTTAAAAATAAGTAGGGCATGGTTTCCTGTCCTGAAAAACATAAAAGGCTCTACATCTGACAATTGCACTACTGATAAGATTAGAACCTCCTCAGGAAAAAGGAAACCTCCTCAGGAAACAATCCATACGCAAAAGAGCCTCCTCAGGAAAGCTCCTCCATTAGCATGGGGAACTTCTACAAGATAATGACTCAGCCCTACCCCACCTTCCTGAGTAGATATAAATTACCCTCATTAGCCTGGGGAACTCCTATAAGATAATGTCTCAGCCCTACCCCGCCTTCCTGAGTAGATATAAATGACCTTCCTACCATTTTTCTTCTCACCTTCACACAGAGAGTACATCGTCTTTTTGTGTTATACCTCTGGGGATGCCAGTCACAGCTACTGGCGCAACGTCAGGTCCTACAGTGCCAACACCACGGCCACACAACTCAGAAAATCTACAACAGCTAATGAACTCTGGCCGTGAAAGCCTTCGACAACAAATCGCCCGAAACTCCATTGATTTACTATAGGGTTCTTGGTAATTCCTAGAATGGAATTATGTCACTTTTGGGTTTCCCCCGGAAGTGATGTAATACTGTCATGCTCACGGCGATTTTTAAATTGATTTTTCCCTTGCCAGCCAACAGAGTGGCAGTGGAGCTTGCCAGTGTGAGGTCTCTCACCTTAGTGGGGGTTCTTGGTAATTCCTAGAATGGAATTATGTCACTTTTGGGTTTCCCCCAGAAGTGATGTAATACTGTCATGCTCACAGCGATTTTTAAATGGATTTTTCTCTTGCCAGCCAACAGAGTGGCAGTGGAGCTTGCCAGTGTGAGGTCTCTCACCTTAGTGGAAGACCTGGCAACCATAACCTTTACTGAAGGGAATTTATTCCATAGTAGGATCTTTCCCATGGAGTGGATTTGGTGGGCAATATAGCACTTTATTAAGTGCTGTTTAGAACCTCCATCTGCATTCTGCTTCCAGGTAAACAAGAAAAGGAACAATGGACCAGCCCAATAAGGCTGCAATATGTCCAGTTTCGGCTTTGAAACGGAGATGAGCACCGCAACCCTAGAGTCAGATTCGACTGGCTTTCGAACAAGGGAACCTTTACCTTTATAGCACTTTATTAAGTGCTGTGTAGAACCTCCATTTGCATTCTGCTTGCAGGTAAACAAGAAAAGGAACAATGGACCAGTCCAATAAGGCTGCAGTATGGAATTGGATCGTTAGTCCAGTTACTACAGATGCCAAATTATGAAGAGGTGTATAGCATCAATAGTAGTGCAACAGGTGCTATGATTTCACCATCCAGTTTTTAAAGTCTAAGTACAGTCTTAATGGAGATGAGCACCGCAACCCTAGAGTCGGATTCGACTGGCTTTCGAGCAAGGGAACCTTTACCTTTGTATAGCATCAATAATAGTGTAACAGGTGCTATGATTTCACCATCCAGTTTTTAAAGTCTAAGTACAGTCTTAATAATGTTTGAAACTTCTTGGGAACTTTTATCTCTTTGTTTCCTAAGGCACTGTTTGCTAACAAAGATCTTACCTCTAGGAGAGATTTTTGAACTGTGATTTTACTGTACACCCTAGCCCCTTCTTCTCCGCATACTTTTTTCAACTCCTCTTTGTTCAGAGAGAAAAGTTGAGCCCCGGTCAGTATTCCAAGATGATCCACAGTTCTGGAAAATGCAAGTTTTAAATTCGTATTATGAAGAAAAAGTGACAGAAGCCCATAGTTATTAAGTCCTCTCAGTATATAGTAACTGGTGGGCAAGAATCTGCATGTACAAATAATCAGGGCTGTGCTTCATCCCCTCAGATTAGCAATCAAGAACAACTCATGGCCCACTGGACTGAAAAAAAATCTCTAGGCCAACCTCTCAGTGTTTTTGTGAGGCAGAAGTGGGAGGAGAGTCAGTTCTGTAACTTTTTTGTGATGGTACTCACCAGTACCGGGTACCAGAACCTGGGGGGGGGACTCTCCCAAGTTTTCTTCACCCAGCACAACTGCCAGATGTGGAATGTAAACCCTCTCTCTTCCTCCCCGATGTAGTACATTTTCTACTCTGCCTCTCCTCCAAGGAGCTCAGGGCCCATTTTTACCTCACAGCTATCCTGTGAATGGAGAGAGTAATTGGGTCAAGATCACTAATCAAACTTCGTTGTTGGGATTTGAAACCATAACTCCCAGATCCTAGTGTGACATTCTAACCACTACTACTGTCCTAGAACTTTATATTGTCCTCTTTATAGAAGGCCCATTCCCTTCTAATTCAGGAAGATGGCCATTTAAGTGTTAAACAGCCATATACAGGTTTATTCCAAAAAGGGAAATTGGCCCACACCTGTGACTGTCTACAACAGTCCCATCTGGCTTTCTCAAGAGCAAACACGACAGGGATCCTTAGCATGTAATACTAGAAAACAGCAGAAAAACGCCAGGGGAAGACCACCGAAGAGTAAATACACTTGAAATATCTAAGTATAGGATATATTAAGTAAGTTTTACCAAAAAAATTGTGACTTCTCTTGTGCAACCATTAACTGATGCATGCAGTGATATTCTGGCCTCAGGTATTCTTCCAACATCATGGAATACAACTTCAATAATTGTAACACTTAAACCAGGGAAAGATCTCTCCAATCCAGCCTCATATAGAACTATTTAATTGCTTAATCAAGATTACAAAATTTTTTACAGCCATCATTGCCAAGAGAATCAACTTCATCATCACCCAATACATACACCTGAGCCTGCTTGCGGGGAGGGTGGGATATAAATGTAACAATAAATGAATAAATAAAAATACATCCCGATCAATCCGGTTTCATGCCTGGAAGAGACGTCACTGACAACATACACAAAGCTTTACACATTCTTTCAGCATGTGAATCATTAAATTCAGAATCACTGGTGTTGTATTTAGACACAGAAAAGGCACTTGAGTCACTGGAATTTCCTTACCTGATTGGACTGCTTTGTCACATGGGCTTTGGCGGAAACTTTTTGAGGGTGATCAATGCAATAGGGGGGACCCGACAAGGTTGTCCCTTATCTCCAACCTTATTTGGAACCACTTGCAGCAATGATACGACAAGATGATTCTATCAGAGATATAGACCTAGGTCCTCACTTATTCAAACTCAACTTGCTCACCAATGACATGCTCTTATTTATGTCTAGTATCATGGGTGCTGATGAAAGGGTGCTGCCAGCTTCAGCAGAACCCACAGCTGGCCCCTCTGAAGCTTCAGAGATAGACAATTTGCCATCGCCACCCCCATTAGCACCTGGCTCAGCAACAGCTGACGAGGAGCAGCTACAAGTGGAAAGCCCTCCCGACTCGCTCCCGTGAGTTGCTCGCTTAAGAGACCGACTCTGCCAGGACTTGGCGACCAGGCGGCCTGCAGCTCACTTGCAGAGCAGACGGTCGGTTAGGCCTGAGTTTTGACAGACGCTTGGCGGCTGGTGCTGCTGCGCTAATTGGAAACAGCAGCAGAGGGCTATTTAGCTCTAGGCTGGCTTCTTTGTGGAAGCAACTAGTCGACTTCGTGATGCCTCGCCTCCCCTATGCCTCCTGTTTCCGGACTTGGTTCCTGCTTCTCTCCCCCGGCTTTCTGACTCTGGCTTTGAACGACCTCGCTCCTGGTTTGTGCTTTGGACTTTCTCAGTTCCCGCTCCACTCCTTTTGGCTTAAGACCTCAGACTGAACTTGGACTTCCCTCTGCATGCACCCCAGCCCTTGACATGAAAACCCCAATCTTCTCTCCCTTGCCTCCAGGAACACCTCAAGAAATTTGGCCAAATCTCGGGTCTCATGGTTAACCCAGCAAAATCCTGCATCTTACCAATTAATTTATCTCCTAAAATGGAAAATGATATTTGAAATTCATATGCCTTCCAATGGTGTTCTGACACGATACCTTATCTAGGGTACCTCGTACCCTTAAAAACTTGATAACATCCAATCATCTTCAAAAATTCCAGGAGATACATTCTGATATCACCAAGTGGAACAAACAAGCTCTCTCTTTCTTGGATAGACTCCATCTAATTAAATCATTTATTTCCCCCAATTACTCTTTCTTTTTCATGCAATTCCTATTGAGCTGTCTCCAAACCTTCTTCATTCATGGCAAAAAACACTTAATGTTTTTCTCTGGCAAGGCAAAAAACCAAGGATTAGCTTTCTGACACTAAGATGACGGAACCAACAAGGTGTTTTGAACTACCCAGACATATCAATATACTATAAAACCACGTTGCTAACCAATGTCATCAAAATGCTTAATAGAGGTGATCAAGCTCCCTGGGTTCAACCACTCTACCCAATCCTCTTTCCTAAGACAATTCAAGAAGTTATTTGGAATGATCCTTCAGCAAGACCTAAACTGAGACATTCTAACATTTTTAAAACTTCGATACTTAAAATGTGGGGCAGCCTTAAACACAAACTCCTTCCGATCTTGTCTTCACAATCAACCTTCCGATCTTGTCTTCACAATCAACCTTCCTCTTTCAACCTTGGTTTCGACCTGGCAATGACCTAACAACAGCCAAACTCTGGAGAAAAGCTGACCTAACACGTCTGACCTAACGTCACTACATCATTAGGACTACTTCTGAAGAGCCTGTTAGAATGAAAATTGAATCATTTTATCCCATGGTTCTTTTATTTTCAACTCAATCATGCGATCTCAGTGAGGCCCTCTCTCACTTCCAAATCAGCATTTTAACAGTGGGAGGGCTTCTAATGTCCTGGCCCCACTGGTGGACCTCCTGATGGCACCTGGTATTTCTGGCCACTGTGTGATACAGAGTGTTGGACTGGATGGGCCTTTGGCCTGATCCAACATTGGCGTCTCTTATGTTCTTATGTTCTTATGAAACTCTTCTAAATGATAGAGGCTCTTCATTCAAGGGTAAAATCTCCAAAGTTTACGACATTTTAATCCGACTAGTCAGCACTAAAGAACTCCACTTTAGACAAAAAAATGGCAAAATGACCGTAACTACACAATCACAGATGAAATCTGGGAACAAATTTGGACCTCAAAACTCCAGTTATCTCAACAAAAGTACAGTCCTATAAAGTTATCACAGCCTGGTACCCCGCACCCCAAAAATTGGCCTTCTATTCACCACACTGTTCCCCATTATGCTGGAAGAAATGTGGTACTCCTGGTTCTTACGCACATTGCTGGTGGGAATGTCCAGTTATCAGATCATTCTGGGAAAACATCATCACACCAATCCATAGAATTACAGGTTATGACATGAGCCCATATGATTATATTTATGAACACTGTATTTGTTTTGGGTTGTGGACCAGCAACTCATTATAGACGTTTATTTATAATTTAACCACTTACTTAATATATCCCATACTCAGACATTTCAAGTGCATTTACTCTTTGATAGTCTTCCCCTGGTGTTTTTCTGCTGTTTCCTACTGGCTTTCTCAGGAGGCTGCTCTTTCAGGTCCCGCTAACAAATGCTTGGATATCTCAGTACTTCAGGAAATCCTTAACTTCACCTCATGTGCAGGAGAGATAGAGGTCGTCTTGTTCTCGGTGAAGGAACTCTTAAAAAGTAACTACGACTTGAGAGAAGGTGAGGTTCGGATAACAAGACTCAGGGCTCTTTTTGTAGAAAAAGCCCAGCAGGAACTCATTAGCATAATAGGCCACACCCAACAGCTGAAACTCATTAGCATATTAGGCCACACCCTGACACCACAGCTCATTAGCATATGAGGCCGCAGTCCCGTGTTGCCAAAAGTGTGGTCATCCAGACACACCCACCTTTTGCTTCTTATTCTGTTTACCTTGTTTGTTGTCACGACCCAGGGACTTTTTTTTGTAGCGGGAACTCCTTTGCATGTTAGGCCACACACCCCTACCGTAGCCAATCCTAATGCGTTCCTGCTGTTGGGTGTGGCCTATTATGCTAATGAGTTCCTGCTAGGTGTGGCCGACTCAGGAGCCAGCTGGAACTTCGTTCCTGTGTGTTCCTGCCCAAAAATAGCCCTGACAAGATTTATCCCATACCCAATATCTTTTAATAAAATCTTCTGTCCCGCTGCCTCAAGTCACGTCACATGATACAAATGGAAAAGCGGAATGAGAAAAGAGAACAGGGCGGGGAGGAGGAGGACAAGAGCAACTTACCCTTTGCTAAAAGAATTTGCTTCAAGCCAAGCTCTGACTTCTTCAGCACTGGACTCGAAGGTCAGGGGCACATGAACTTGCTGCGCCTTCTCAACTTTAAAGTTTCTTTGAGGCGGCTGCACTTTAATATTGGTAATCTTTTTAAGCAGCTCATCATTGACCTCATCCATGTGATGGATCAGTTCTAAAAACAGATGGGGGGGGATCAGGTCTGTCAATCAATTTTTAGTCAGTTATCTATTTTAACTAACTTTTCCATTTAATTGCTTGATTTTCAGTATATCTGAATATATTACCAAATCCTCAATATAGAAAAGTTTCCACATACTGAAGGAAGTACAACAACTTACATTTTAATAAGTAAAAGTGAGCAATCGTTAGAAAGAACATCATTAATGTTTTCTTTTCCTTTCCCAATTTTAGTGAACGCACCTAAGCCAAAACTACTTCAAATTCATGTCCTTACATCTCATCCACACTGATTACAATTTCCCCTTAGTTAAAATTGGCTTATGCCTCTTGTAAGCCGCCCTGAGCCCGCATACGTCGGGAGGGCAGGGTATAAATTGAATTAAATAAATAAATAAATAAACTTAGTCCCCACTTGACTACTCAATAAAGTCTTTCGTTGATTAATCTACTGCTTAAATCATGCCGCCCTGAAAAGTACAAGTAATATATCCTTAAACAAACAAGTTACTCCCTCACATTACTATAACCTGTTCAGGTGGATAGATATGATTTGAGGAAGGAAAAGGATTCGACCACTTCAACAACTTTGTGGCGCTAACTCCATGTAACAAAAAAAGGTAGTCCTGATGGCATTTCATTAAAAAATAAATAAAAGCATTGGTGGGAGGTAGGCGTTCAGAGTAGAGAAGTGGGGACGTGTGCGATAAAGGGCTTGTTGGATGTTGTTGGATGAGCGGTGGCACAGTGGGTATATCCCACTGTCTTAACATCCAAACTGTGTTAGTTCGAGCCCCGCGCTGGTGTGAGCAGCCAGCCTGTTGTCCCCAGCTCATCGTCCACCCAGCGATTCGAAAGCTTCGGCGAGTAGATAAAATGGGAACCACTCCTTAGAGAGGGTGGGCACACCAATCTCCCTTGTGGGAGGGTGTTAGCTGACGGTCGGGACTTTCTGGTCGAGGTTCGGAAAAGGCGGAAGAACTTCTCGGCTACAAAAATCCCTGCAGTGGATGTTTCCGGCCAGGCGGTGGCAGTGTGGCGATGCGACATACGGGTCCTGAAGCCTGGTCGACAAGCAGCCGTTCGGTGCAGTGACAGCGTGTGCAATTAAATGAATATATGTTGTCTTCCCTATCCCCTATGAACATTGTTAATCCCCTGTCTAATGTGTAACTGTACATCGCTTTGAGCCCACTGGGGAAAGCGATTAATAAATTGAAATTATTATTATTATTATTCACGTTTGGCTATGTCAGCAAACACATGTTTGAAACCCACGAGGAAAGAAGTAGACAGGAGGGCAGTTTCTACCACTGGACAGGGAAAGGGTGCGGCACTCTTTTCCTTCCCTCACCATTGTTTTCCTGCATCATATTTCTGCCTCCTGATGCTATTTTTTTTAAAAATATATAATGAAGAAGAAGAAGAGAAGAGATTGGATTTATACCCCACCCTTCACTTGGAGTTCCAGAGCAACTTACAAACTTCTTTCCCTTCCCCTCCCCACAACAGACACCCTGTGAGGTAGGCGGGGCTGAGAGAGCTCTTGACAGAAACGGCTCTTTTTCAAGGAGAAGAAGAGACTGGATTGATACCCCACCCTCACTCGGAGTCTCAGAGTGGCTGACAAACTCCTTTCCCTTCCCCTCCCCACAACAGACACCCTGTGAGGTGGGTGGGGCTGAGAGAACTCTGACAGAAACTGCTCTTTTTAAAGGGCAGCTGTGCCAGAGCTTGTGACTGACCCAAGGTCACATCAGCAGGTGCAAGTGGAGGAGTGGGGAATCAAACCCGGTTCTCCCAGATTAGAGTCCGCGCACTTAACCACGACACCAAACTGGAAAAGTGACAAAGGGAGCCGTGTACAAGAATTTCTCTTGTACTAACCATGAACCGCAGTGCCAAAGCCATGTAGACAGAGATGCCGAGCGTCATGTAGGTTCCGGATATTTGCTGTGTTTTGTATGTGTGTTTTTGTGGCATTCATGTGCAGGGGGTTTTTTTGTAGAAAAAGCCCAGCAGGAACTCATTAGTATAATAGGTCACACTCAACAGCAGGAACTCATTAGCATATTAGGCCAAACCCCTGACATCACAACTCATTCGCATATTAGGCCACACCCCCATGCCTTCCCTCGGCTCACCCCGGCAAGACCCCCTTGAAGGGAAGGGAAGGGAAGGCAATTTAAACTGCCTTCCCTTGGCTTGCCCGGGCACCCCATGGCTGCAGGAGCCCAGGCAAGCCAGCCCTTGGACAGGCCGAGGAAGGCATGGGAAGGCATTTAAATGCCTCCCCGATCCTTCCAGGGCCCCCCCTGGCCTGCCTGCCTCAGAGTCACGGGGGGTGTCGCTCTCCAGGCCTTCCCCTCTGTAGCCATGCATGCAGATATTTTGGCTGTAGTGGGTGTGGCCAACCCTGAAGCCAGCCAGAACTCCATTCCTGTGCGCTCCTTCCCAAAAATAGCCCTGTTCATGTGGTATATATACATACACATTTCTTTACACTCAGTCACAGTGTTTATCTCAAGCATACCTGTATTTTAAGGAGAATGTCTCTACAGGAATTATTTATGAGAACTGGTTGGTTTCAGTGGCCACTTGAGATGTGACTGTTGCAGCTAGTGGCTAGCTAAATCTAACCTGTTCAACTGATCCACAGTCTTCCAGTTTTACCACATCCAAGATGTTATATGGGACATAACCAGCCTGTCCACTCCGGTTTCTCAGCTTCCACCATTGCTTGTTGTCTTCCAAAACCTGTAAATATAAAAAATAAATTAATCTGGTAAGAAAAATGAAGTACTGGTTTGTTTAAAATATTTTCTTAAGGATTTGTATTATATTATACAGCGTTCCCTATTCCCATGGCTTTTTTTTGTAGAAAAAGCCCAGCAGGAACTCCTTAGCATAATAGGCCACACCCAATAGAAGAAACTCATTAGCGTATTAGGCCACACCCCTGACAGCATGGCTCATTAGCATATTGGGCCACACCCCATGCCTTCCCTTGGCTTGCGGGGCGCCCGGGCAAGCCCCCCATTGAAGGGAAGGGAAGAGATTGGATTTATACCCCGCCCTTCACTACCCAGAGGAGTCTCAGAGTGGCTTACAAACTCCTTTCCCTTCCCCTCCCCACAACAGACACCCTCTGAGGTAGGTGGGGCTGAGAGAGCTCGGTTATCCCAGATTAGAGTCCACGCACTTAATCACTACACCAAACTGGCTCTAAATGCCTCCCCGGTCCTTCCAGGGGCCCCCCTGGCCAGCCCACCTCAGAGTCGCCGTGGGGGGTGTCACTCCCCAGGCCTTCCCCTCTGTAGCCACGCATGCGCAGAGGTTTTGACCGTGTTTCATGGAATATCTTTCTTGTTTTGTAGACTAACCAGAAATACAAAGGAGATGCGAGTCCAAGAGGAATTGGACCTTCCAGCCCCTCACATAAGTTACCTGCCAGCTATTTTGGGGATAAGTGGGGAAGTGAAATGCTAGCGCGCAATTCTCCTGATGCCAAAGAACGTAAGTACACGATTCCTCACACACCAAGCGAGCTACAGTTGTATCTTCCAATTTGAAGTTAACAATTTTACTTACCTTCCCAAAGATACTGATCTGAAAATCTGAAGTGAGGGCATATGCAAAGTTTTGTACTTCAGTTCTGATAGGTAAAGGTAAAGGTTCCCTTGCTCGACGAGTCCGACTCTAGGGTTGCGGTGCTCATCTCCGTTTCCAAGCCGAAGAGCCAGCGCTGTCCGAAGACGTTTCCGTGGTCATGTGGCTGGCATGACTAAACACCAAGGCGCACGGAACGCTGTTACCTTCCCACCGAAGTGGTCCCTATTTATCTACTTGCAATTTCTTGCTTTCGAACTGCTAGGTTGGCAGGAGCTGGAACTAGAGACGGGAGCTCACTCCATTATGCGGCCACTCGGGTCTCGAACTGCTGAACTACTGACCTTCCACAGCCTGCAGTTCAGCGTCTTAACCACTTGAGCCACCGCAGCTCCTTCAGTTCTGATACCCAAATACAAAATACATGTGTGGTTTCAGTTACCAATGGCACACATGGGTCTAAATGGTAGCTAATTTAACTTTAAATTATGTAACAGGGTGCTTTCTTCCTTGGTCAACAAAAAAATGTGCTTTACACCATGACCGATTTCACACCTATTTATCTACTTGCAATTTCTTGCTTTCCAACTGGAGCTGGAACCAGAGACGGGAGCTCACTCCGTCATGCGGCACTTGGGTCTCGAACTGCCGAACTACCGACCTTCCACAGCCTGCAGTTCAGCGTCTCAACCACTTGAGCCACTGCAGCCCCCTCAGTGGCATTTACTCCCTGGCAAATGTGTTCGGTTTGTAGCCTTAAACAGCTGTTGTTGTTATTCATTTGAAATGTCAATTAAAAAGTTATTTTTTAAAAAACAAAAAAACAGCTACTAGGCCTGAAAAAAATTAAGATTCCGTAGAGCACCACAGTTGTGGAATGTGGACCAGGACATGATATGGGTAACTGGCACCCCCTCGCCTCATAATAAGTATTGCAAAAGTAGACAGGGGAAAAGCCGGGTTCTTCTTTTACCTCCAGAATTTCATCCTTCATCACTGAAAGTTCGCTGGCATTCCGAGCAGTGAAATCATATCGGATTTTGGCATATCTTTTTGGTGGGGAAATACCCTGTGCCTCAAAATTCCTGCAAAAAAGGCATAATAGGGTTACGAATGCTTCTCTCTGCATGCCAGAATAATTCTTTTTATTATATTAAAATTAATTTTTAAAAGGGTACAGTTTGACACACATTGCTTCGATGCATGGGAAACGACGACTCTTTCTATATGTGCATTTTTCCTTTTCTGCGAATCTAAAGCTTTAGGGGGCTATATCAACAACGTGCACTGAAAACATCACTCTGTATTCTTTTAGTTTTATTACTATTGTTCCTGCATAGCCACTAAAGACTCTAACACTTGGTTCTCCTCAATGTTTCTGTCAGTTGTTTCTGCCCATTGTTCAAACACAGCAACATTTTAAAATTATTATTATCAGGGGTCATTTCGTAGAAAAAGAGCTAGGAAGCGGGGTGGCTGGAAGCAGGGGGCGGGGCTTTGTCATGTGCCCGCCCCCTGCACCTCACCCAGGGGAACTGTGTTCCCCCGCGTTCCCCCCCGAAATGACCTCTGATTATTATTGCACCCTTGAGGTGGCATATCGTGTGTTGTTGGGAGGGGCTGTGGCTGGGTGGTGGAGTCTCTGCTTGGCATGCAGAAGTTCCCGGGTTTGATCTCTGGCATCTCCGGTTAAAGGAACAGGTAGGAGGTACGGTTGCCATCCCCCTGATGGGGGTGGATGGTTACCCGCTTCCAGGGGCCCCAATCTGCTGCCACCCGGCTGCCCAGCAGGGGGAGCCCCACCCCCGAGCAGCCCCGTCCGTGCCGACGTCCCCTGAAGGTGATGTCATTGCACAGGGCACATCGGGGGATGCTCTAGTATTTGAAGGGAAAAACTCTATGGTCACCCTAGAGTCTCTTTCTCAAATGCTAGAGTGTCCCCCTGCAATGTGCCCTGTGTGATGATGATGTCAGTGTGATGTCGTCGCGGCGCACGTGCTTCACGCGCATGCCAAAGACTCCTGAACAAAGACAGGAGCCCCTCCCCTGGAAAGAAGTAAGAACCTGGTAACCCTAGTAGGAGGTGATGTGGAAGACCTGGGACCCTACAGAGCTGCTGCTGGTCTGAGTACACAATATTGATCTTGATGGAACAACAACCTGATTCAATTCAGGGCAGATTTAAGTGCTGTCTCATACAACTCATTCACACTTTAAGTTTCAGAGTAAATGGATTTAATAACTCAAAGAGGCACAACAAATACTGCATCGCTCAAGAAAAGAGCTGAGCCCTTTCCTTTCCTTTCCTTTCCTTTCCTTTCCTTTCCTTTCCTTTCCTTTCCTTTCCTGTTCTATCAGATCGTATCTGCCAACAAGCAGTGCTTCCAGTTCTGTCGTTTATAGCCAGGGGTTATTTCGTAGAAAAAGAGGTGCAGGAGCTCATTAGCGTAACTCATTAGCATAACTTATTTGCATATGCCACACACACCCTGACATCACCGGAAGTGTGTCAGAAGGCAACACCCACCGCGCAGGCTCCATTGGACTGTTTTGGATTGCTAGCTATTGGGGGGGGGAGGCACGTGCAGGTCTGCCCTCACAGAGGAGGGAGAGCTTGTACCTGAATAAAACTTGGTCTTAAAGGTGCCACTGGACTGTTTTGGACCGGGGGGGCG